GAGCACAGCTGCTGGAGCTTGAAGAGTCTGAAGTTTTTACAACCATCTTTTCTACTCTGCACAGAAGTAGATCTTCATGGGGGAAACATCAGCGCACACTGGCAGACAGGGCTCAGCAGCCATACTGCAAACTAACTCAGCGGACAATACCTTTAGATGCCACATGTATGCAAAGATCCCTGCCCCACATCTACCCCTTCATGTTCCGTTAAATCAAGCTTGTGCTGCACACAGCCCAGCACGTTCCTACAGCACAGAGCCAGTGTGACATGGTAGAATCCTGCACTCAATGAAGCTTTTTTTTTTTCAACTCACAGGAAATGCAGTTTGTGAATGTGAGCGTGCTTTTCTCATTGTGTTGGTTACACATATGACTCAGTATCAAAGGACTCTGGCGCTAACAGTCAGTGCGTTTCTTATTTAATCCCTCTTGTCCTTTTTACACTGTTTCTGTGATCCACACCTGAAATGCTAAACCTACAGGACGCACTAACATCTGGAAATAAAGTGGAACCAAGTTTCTCGTGCACAGTACACTGTACTGCTCTGTGGACTGTAAGGCTCTTGACTGAGGTCAGTGCAAGAGCCACTGTGGGCCCCAGTCAGCCTGCCCGGCTTCCATATCACCCTCGACCTCCACTGTCTGTCTCCCTGCTAGAAGACCCATTATAAGAGCATCACTGCCTCTTTTTCCACATCTTACATTATTTTGCAGTCATTTTCAGGAAACTCACTACCTCTGGCAAAGGATACTACTTAAGAAATCTTGGGCTCAGTAGTAAAGTGCTTCACTCTACATGTGCAAGGCCCTGAGTTGGATCCCCAGCAAGCAACTCCCCACCATACACATTACCATCATGCACGGTGTGGTGGTACACATCTATAATCCCAGCACTCAGTAGGCTGAGACAGCAAAAGGCTACCAATCATGACCTCAAGACCATCCTGTGATAGACTGGAGTGAGTACAGGGTAGAGGTGGATCACACAAAACTTCTTTGTAGCTCTTCTGGAATATGTAAATGCCTTTACTGTATACAGTTATCAAGCTAACCTGGTTTTTGTTTGAGACAGGATCTCACTATGTAGCCCTGGAACTTGCTATGTAGACCAGGATGAGCTCAAATTCAAAGAGATCCATCTGCCTCTGCCTTAAGAGTTCTGAGATTAAAGGTGTAGGCCACAACACCTAGCAAAGTTCCTAACAAGCAATGTTTCCTGAACACTACCTTTTTTTGTGAAAATTTTAATATGACCAAACTTCAGTTCTCTTCTATTTAAAATGTCTTCCAATTTTGAGGCTTTTTCTTTGGTAGTTTGTTTTATGTGTGTGCTATTTAATTTCTACCTGACCAGATCTTCTGTCACTAATTTCTAGTTTAACTCTACCACAGTCACAAACATAAAATGTATAATCTTTTTGATTGGCAAGGTCTGTTTATACAACAGGATTGGTGTTTTGGTAATGTTATGTGGCCCTGGAGAAGTTTGCATGACTATGGGGGAGGGGAGCTGGAGTCTCTGACTGTTGGCACTTGGTCATCGCCAGACTTTCCAGACATCAAGGCTGATTCTCATCTGTTATCTCTCTGGTGCTTATGGGATGTGAAAGTTTCCAGCTCTTACTCTGGATTTGTCAGTCCCATCAGATTCCCTATCTATAGCTGACTTATACAACTTTGGGCCTGTCCATACTGCCTTTGCCCAGTCCCAATACAGCTGCTGGCCACAGGATGTCCTCACTTACCTGTATCACTCTGTGGGTGTGATGCTCACACATTCTGCAGTCATATGGGTCCTGGGAATTCTCAGCCATCTTCACAGCACTGTTGACATGGAGACACCAAGAAGGCACTGAATACATTGATACATTTGGAGTCTTTTGCATTTTTAAATGCTTTTCAACTTCCCTGAACCTGCTTTTTTAGGTTAAACACTTTTAGTATTCTTTCATTATAAAATTTAGTCTTTTCAGACCCCCCCCCCCCCCGCACGCCTTTAAGATGGGGTCTCTCGCCCAAGCTTGCCCCATACTCATAAGAATCCTGCCTCAGCCTCCCTCATGCTGGGATTACAGTGTGTACCAACATGCCCAACTCTGGATACAGAATTCCCAGGTGACATTTTCCTCTGATTCTTAATGATCCACTTCCTCTGGCCTCCATGATCTCTATAAAGAATATACCATCATTCAGATGGGTATTTGTGTGAGACGGGGTCTCACTATGTAGCCTGATGTGGCCTCAAACTCAAATGCTCTTGCCTCAGTCTCCCCAGTGCTGGGATCACGGGTGCTCAGTGCATCCCTTTGGGTTTATCACACATGGAGTTCATTCAGCTTGACTCTTTGTTTTATATCTTTCATCAGATTGGAAGTTTCCAGCCATTATTCCTTCCCATTTTTTAAAGCCTTCATTGTCTTTCCATTCTTCCATGCCACAGGACCCCGTGAAACTCTGCTCTTTTTTCTTCTCTTCTTATGTCGTTCAAACTGGTGATTCTCCTTTGTCTCCATTCAGCCATTGAGTCTATCCAGCTTTTGAGGTACAGTCTTGCTCCTTTTACCTTGATTGACCTGAAACTCCCTGTGTAACTCAGGATGACTTCAAACTTGCAACAATTCTCCTGCCTCTGCCTCCCCAATTCTGGGATTAAGATGTACACTAACACATTTGCCCACTCACTTCTTTTTTGTCATCATCATTCATATTCTAATCTTTGAGAGTGTTTTGATTGCTCATTAGAGCTACTTCAGTGTTCGTATCGATGTCTGCCGTCTTTCCCCCTGATCCTTCCAGTTCAGGTGCCTTGTGGAGTTGAAGGTGTTTGAAGCTACCTTCTGTCAGTATGATCCCAATTCAGCTTCAATTCCTAAAGCCCTGGCTGTGCTATTTGGACCTGCCCCACCTGTGACCCAGAGGCCCCCTCCTGATTCAGTTTCCTTTGGTATGCTAGTTAGGACCAGTGTGAACCAAGCAAGCCGTAGCCCTGCCCATCCAGCCTGTATTGTTTCAACACTCTGAAGTGAATGTGGTGTTCAAAATAAGCTTAGAGTGATGGTAGAAACTTTCCTAAATACAATTTTGTTACTATTTAAGAAATCCAGAATGAGGGCTGACAAACTCCAGCTTCCATCTTCCAGTGGCCATCCCCACTGCCTAAAATCCCCCACTAAAGGTCCATAAAGTTAAAAATGCCCAGAGATGACCAACAACTGCTTCTTGTGGAGTTTTTCACGTCTTCAGGTAATTTCAATTATTTAAAAAGCTTTTTGTGAGTAAAAGATTCCCCCCAGATCTCCAGATTTCCATATAAGTAGTAGTACTAAGGGTCAATCATAGATGACTTCCTGCTCATGACACCTTCCATGGTGCTGACTTTGATGTCTTAAGCCTGGAGCAGCTGGTCCTCACATGGTCATATTTGAGATGCTCTGCAGGGAAGTGTCCCAGGTACTGAACAGCCACCTCGTGATATGGTGATCATGCCTGATATAACTGTGCCTTGTACAAGCCTAGATAAGGATACAAGAGAAGACCTTCATAAAGACATACAAATGGCCGGGTGTTGGTGGCACATGCCTTTAATCGGGAGGCAGAGGCAGGTGGATCTCTGTGAGTTCGAGACCAGCCTGGTCTACAAGAGCTAGTTCCAGGACAGCCTCCAAAGCAACAGAGAAACCCTGTCTTGGAAAAATAAAATAAAATAAAAATAAAGACATACAAATGATGAGAGGACCTTAATATGCCACTAACTTACCTACTTATAGAAGTTGGTAGCAAAAAAAAAAAAAATATGTAGTTTCTGCCAATCTAAAGCCTACCTATTTTGATGGCTGGGAATATAACTCAATTGGCAGAGTAACCACCTAACATGCATGAAGCCCTGGGTTTGTACCCCCCAGAACCACATTAACTAGGTGTGGGGATATATACCTGTAATCACAGCAGCTGAAAGATAGAGACAAGAGCAGAAAGTTTGAGGTCATCCTTGACTATTAGTTCCAAAGCCAGTCTGGGCTACATGAGACCATATCTTTAAAAAGAAAAATAACCAGGCATGGTGGCAGATGCACTTGGGAGGCAGAGGTCCTTGGGTCTACGTAGGGAGTTCCAGGGTAGTCAGGGCTACATAGGGAGATTCCAAGTTCACTTCAAATTCAGGTGCAGGTATTCTGAAATGACCAGGCCATGTTTAAAGGACTGCATTTATACCAGCCACAGAGTATACAGCAAAGACCTTACCTGGGCCTGGTGACGGCAGAATTGGCCAGGCATAGCACTAGTTTATCCATAAAGTAGACCATATAGCTATCCTGTTTGTCCTGAGCAGTGAACTTACCTGGAAAGCAAGCCATACCTTCCACATGCTGGGCCTCTCCCACACTTTTCCAATACTACTTCTGGGTCCTAAGTGTCATTCCATTTACAAAGTTTTCTGAAGGCATTTTTTACTTGAAAGTTGTGCAGAATTCACTTTGATTGCTGCTTTGTTTCTTCCCCTGTGGGGAACCCAGTGCCTCCTACATGCCAGGTAAAAACCTATCACCCAGCTACATTCCCAGCATGGTAGAATTCTTTTGGAAATGAAGCCTTCAACATCAGCCCCTTTGCTCTATCTCTTTTCTTGCAATTCAGTCCACTTACCGTGACCTGAGCAAACACACCTTTGAATTAGCAGCCAACCTTCAATGAAACACAACTATGACGGTGTTGCATAGGAACTGACAGGAGCATGTGCTGCCTCACTGTGTGCAGGTGAGACCGCCTACAATGCCTTCAATTAACTTGAAAATGTATAAACATGTTGGAAATTCCGTGAGGGTGGAACGGATGAGCAGACACATAACCAATGCAGAGTAGTCAGACAGCTTCTAAACATACAGTTTAAGAATACATTTCTATTTTCTTCTCATTCTTGTCACTCCAGAGCTTCAATATTCTATTGTCAATTCTAAGGTAAAAGTAGCACACACAAAAAAAAAAAAACCACCAAAAACACTTATGGAAAAAATTTTTAATTAAGACCTTAAAATCAAAAATTTTTAAAAGACTGTATCATTTATTTTAAATATGACTGTATTCTCAAACATTTTCAGACGTCTCCAGCATGGAAGCTAATTTTAAATTATCTCATTGCCTTGTAGCTTGTCCTGTATTAGCTCCTAGGATAGGAAAAAATTGTTCATAAGATCAATTTGTTAAAAACTTCATAGGCTCAAAAGGTAATCATCTTTTTTAAAGGAAAGAAATTGAAGCCTAAACATACAGAGACTGGGGTGTGGGGAGTCGCAGGTAACTCATACTGACTTATTTGTGGTGTGGGAACATTAAATATTCTGCAAAGTCCTGAGCAGTTGTGCTCTGTGTAAAAAGAAAGTGGCAAAGACACCAGCATGGCCTCTCCGTGCACTTCAGCCTGTGCGTCCACACACAGGCAAAAGGATGCGCGTATCTTCTACATGATTCTGAAAGCCAGGGGTGAGGGTGGGGTCGTGGGGAGGTCCTGTGCCCTCCCCACCTGTCTTTCTGAGATTGTCGGGTGCAACTTGATGATGTAGGCTGGGTGAGGAACACAGGCATTCAAGGCACAGTTTTACAAAGAGTAATTCTCAACCAACTGGGCCACTGTCCCAATCACCTTGCCTATGTGACATCTGGGGACTATGTGGTTAACAGAGTCACTAGCAAGGTTGTATTTGGACAAGATGTAGAACTTAATCTTTAATTAGATATACACTTCAGTGGGAGGGCTCTGTACACAAGGGACTATACAAAAGTAGGCAAATATTTTAAGTTTGTTTTTTTTTTTAAAAAAACACTCATGATCCTTCAGTTTGCATTTTCAAAGCTTCATACAGTTTTAAGATGACACTGTGTGACAAATTTATATGTAATGAAATCAGTTTGTGTTCTAGAAATTATCATACTCAAAAACCCAAAGTGAAAACATCCTGGAGATGCTCAGTCACACACACACACCCAGCACTCAGTTTTACCCAACAAACTCAGATGCTGAGTGAGTGCAGGCAAAGATCTCCCTGTTTCTGGAAGAGCACAGTGCTCATCCTCTTAAACTTCTTTCCAGCAGGATGGAAAAGGCGCCCATCTCATGGAAACCTATGCTTTTTAAAACCTTTTTTTAAAAACCTTGACAGTGGTTCCCAGGCCAGTGTACGCCCCATTCTCCCACAGTTCGGCAGCACAGGTCACCAGGCCGGATATCAAGTAGTCATGTTTTCAACTTAAAGTATCAGCACTGTGCATCATGAGGCCTTCATTAAGTTCTATGGAAGGAAAAGCAGAATGGAGGTGATGATACCGAAGGGTGCCTGCTGGTCCCATCCCCACAAGCTCAGTTCATTAAATATCATTTCAGATTTCAAGTTTTCAGTGTCATCGTCTGCTGTCTCCAAAGAGGGGAGTGGCAGGTCAGACTTAATAAGAGCTGACTATGCCATGTGTGCTCTAAAGGGAATTCTGCAGTTAAAAGAATGTGACACTGACTCAAAACAAATGTCATCATTGCTCTAAAGCATGCACTGCACTGCACGTCACTCACCGGAATGTACCAGAACTATTAAATTATATTACTAAATAAATGTCTAAGTGATGGTTTAAGGAGAAAAGGTGACCCTCATTCTGGCCAGGAAATTCTTAAGAATCATAGTCTACATGGAGGTGAGGTGAAAGGAACATTGAGAGTAACTGTTCAGCAGTTGCCACAGTTCTAGTCTGTCAGGAACAGCATTGACCTCGCACTGATGCCCTTGCTTTCCTTGGTGCCCTCTGCAAGGCAAACTGCACAGATGTGGTGCCTGTGAGTCCCGCACTGTGGGATGGGATGCCCCTGCCAGATGTGGAATGTGCTGGTCAAAAAGGACAGCTCCGACTGTACTACAGGAGGGTGTGCATGGGAAGCGCCTAGAGCCGGTTAAAGGCATTTGGTGTGGGTATCTCCAAAGATTAAAATCTTTAAAATAAAACTCTTACAAGAATATCAAGACTCGGGGACTTGTCTTCATAAACAAGCCAACACTATGGCTTTGATGATCTGCCCTAACTATGAAGGTAGGTGATCAACCATCATGAAAGCAAAACCATCTCTTGGAAATTCCTAAGAAGAGCCTTGCAGGACCAGTCTGTTTCTTCCACCTGTGTGTGGTCCCATTTGCTAGTTTTGGTCATTCTTTTCTTCCATAAACACTTGAAAGAGCATGTCCCAGCATCTATGCCCTTGCTGAGTAGCACCGCATGTACTCTGTCAGCCACGGGTTCTCTGCGGAAGATGGCTTTACCCTCCGGTTCTTTTCCACATCCACCGAGTGAGCCCGCTGCCTCTGGGCAGCCAGTTTCCTTTTCTCCACCTGTCTTCTGTTCTTGGCTCGAAGTGCTGATTCATGAATCTAAAGAAAGTTCAAAAATAAAGGTAGACGCCTAAGTGGCTTAAGGCCCAATTTTTTAACAATATCTAAGTCTGGGGATATAGCTCAGTGCAGCCTAGCAAAAATGAAGCCCTGGGTTTTATCCCCAGGTGTGGTGGTACCCACCTGTTACTCCAGCACTTGGGAGAACCCTAAGTTCAAAGCTATCCTGGGACACAAGAGACCCTGTCTTATGTTACTAGCCCAATTCCCTGAAGCAAGGAGTCAATCCCTGACAATCTTTGGTATCAACACTTCTCAGAATAAACTATCCTGTTACCATGTTCACCCCACTACTAACGATGGCAAAGCTGAGCACACAAATTAACTTTTAGGGCTGGAGAGATGGCTCAGAATCAAGAACAAGTACTGCTCTTGCAAAGGACCTAAGTTCAATTCCCAGAACCCAAGCCGGGCATCTCACAACTGTAACTCTAGTTACAAGGGCATCTGATGCCACTGGCCTCTGAGAGCACCAGCACTTACACACATAGACTCACACACACAGACTCACACACATACACATAACTTTCATGTCATCTAGGACCAGCTTGGGAAAACTTGTTTTGTTTTTCTTTTTTGAGACAGGATTTTCCTCTGTAGCTGTTTGGCCTGGAACTGGCTTACATAGATCAGACTGGCTATAAACTTCCAGGGATCCTCCTGTCTCTGCCTCCCAAGTACTGAGATTATAGGTATGCCACCACACCAAGCTCTGAAAAACTGTGGGAACTCCTCCATAGTGAGCATAGAAAAGAGTCTGTGAGTTCTTGACTATGCTGTACAATACTGCACTAATGAGCTGGCTTTTTGAAGCCCGTCCATATGGTGAGATGCCTTGTTCAGTCTTGATGGGGTGGGGGAGCTCTTGGTCCTGCCTCAAATGAATGTGCCAGGCTTTGTTGACTCCCTATGGGAGGCCTTCCCCTTTCTGAGGAGTGGATGGGGGAGTTGGGAGAGGGGGAGAACTGTTGGTATGTAAAACAAATAAAAAAATTAAAATATAAAAAGAAAAGGGAACACTGCACTAAAATATGTGGACAACAGCCAGGTACAGGCACATGAGCCTGAAATCCCAGAATTTGGTAGGCAGAAGTAGAAAGATCAGAGGTTCCAGGTTATCCTCAGCTAAGTAGTGAGTTTCAGGCCTGTGGCTACTAAGATCCTGCCTCGAAATATAATAATACAACAAAACGAAAAATATCAGGGGAATTTATCCTGTGACAGATAAACACACTGTTAAATTAGTCCCTGAGATGGGTCAGAACCCTCTGCTAATAACAGCTCCCTTGTCTCAGATTTCACTTCAAATAAACAGCATCTGCCACCTAGAGTGCTCTGGGAACTTGACTGGCATTACAGAGAAACTGAGTTTGCAGTTTTTCTTTCTACCTGCTCTTCGGGCATCCCTGGCATCCAGCTGGTGCTAACACAGTAACTGTTTGGTGATGGACCATACCTTCTCTGTGCCCCTGTCTAAAATATCTCAGGTCTTGAGAGGATGCCAAACTAAGGCTGAGTCAGATTGACTGGAGCTCCTGGGAACAAAACAGTATTGCAGGCCAGGCAGTGGTGGTGTGCGCCTTTATTCTCAGCATTTGGGAGGCAGAGGTGGGTGAATCTCTGTGAGTTCCAGGCCAGCCTGGTCTACAGAGTGAGTTCAAGGACAGGCTCCAAAGCTACACAGAAAAACCCTGTCTCAAAAAAAACAAAACAAACAAACAAACAAAAAAAAAAACCAACCCCTCCCCTAAACAAAAACCCACTATTGCAAGCTGAATTTCATCAGAAGGGAAACAGAGGTCCCCAGTAGATATCAAGTAATCAGACATGCCAAGGAGAAAACCTTGGTCAAGGACCCAGGTCAGCAAAGCTAAGGGAAACTGAGGTCTCTCCAGGGGATAGCTCCAGCTCTCAGTGTACTCTGCCCTTGACCCAGGCCATAGATCTCATAAACCACAATGACATCTGCCTCTTCTCCTTGCTGTAGTGCCAGTCCACCAAAGTCTACTCCATCTTCCTAGTAACCAGAGGCCCCTTTTGGCTTCCATGGACCCCACACCACCCAAGGACCTCCCATGGCCCAGAGCAACGACAGCCATAGGAGAAATGCCCTGGGGCAATGCACGGCTAGACTCGCCCTTCCAAGGCACACCTCGTGCACAGAGGCAGATGCACAGACATTGTGTGTCTTCTGACTCCCCGTATCCATCTGTTTCTCTCCCCAGCCATACAGAGCAAATGGGTGCTTGTTCTCTTTTATTTTGCTTGTTGATCTTTGGGGGCTTCTGGTTGCTTTCTTACTTCCTCTGGCAAATAAGGCACTAGGATGTTGTCGAGGTTCGGGGCCACTGGGCACCCTGTCAGTCTCTTTTGCCCCAGTTTGTAGTTCAGGTTTTTCTTCTATGTCTTTTTTTGGTGGTGCTTTTGAAAAAAGGGATGAGACAAGATGGAAATACTTTAAATCACCAGTTTATGTATAGTTACTCAAGTTAACGAATAATAAAGCTTCATCAAGTCAGTTACATGTTTAACTCAACAGGTTTTACTTAAAGTAAAATAAGGAAATGAATTTGTAGAATAACTGTCATTTACCCAAATTTAAAAATTGACAACAAAGGTACCAACATTACATCAAAAACAATTCCAAAGCAACCTTGATGGACATCCTCAGGATTCATCATCCCTATGAGAAGTGAGTGCACACACCTGGGAGCTCTGTCCACAAGCCCAGAGTGTGTGGTCCTCTCTGGATGCTTCCTCTGGTGACAGAAGAGGCTGTCCTCACCAGGCAAGCTGCTCAAGGTTTCTAAGTCACTTCCTGGAGTTCCAGGATTAGGCTTCCTTTTTTGATGTGCATTGATGGAAAACCTCCTCACCTGTGCCTCCAAAGAGGTGGCTGTCCACCTGAGTCTAAGGGCACTTGTCACAACAGGATGTGGTCACCACAGCCACTCACCTGAGTGTAGCCCTTTACAGCATCCCCAGTGTAAAAAACAAGAGATGTTGAAACACGAGTCAGGGCCACAGTATTGTGCTTGAATATGTAATGTCTTCCCAGGCTCATGAATCTGAACAGTTCCAGCTAGTGGTGCTGTTTTTTGTTTTGTTTGTTTTTAAGATGTATTTATTTATTGTGTATACAGTTTTTCACCTGCATGCCAGAAGAGGGCACCAGATCTCATTATATATGGCTGTGAGCCACCATGTGATTGCTGGGAATTGAATTCAGGACCTCTGGAAGAGCAGTCAGTGCTCTTAACCGATGAGCCATCTCTCCAGCCCCTAGTGGTGGTGTTTAGGAGTCTGTAGAATCTCTGGGAGATGAGGTCTTGATGGAAGAGGTAAGTTGCTACAGGATGAGTATTATGGGTTACAGCTTGATCTTAGTTTTGACCTAGCTTCTGTTTCCTGAATGATCAAGATGTAAGCAAGCAGCCTCACCTTCAAACTGCCATGAACTCTGCCATACCCTCCCCATCATGATGGACCATACCCTTTCCAAGCATAGCCAAAAGAAGTCTTTCCACCCTTCACTTGCTTCTTATCAGGTATTTGGTCACAGTGATGAGAAAAGTAACTGACTGGTATGGTGTGTGGAGCCTGAACAGTATCAGTAGCCCTAGGGGAAGGGAGGGAAACAGTGGGGGATGTGGCTGCCCAACCTGAGGTAAATATCAGGTATGAAAGAACACTCCAGAATGTCTCTAATTTCCTTTGCCTACCTTTTGGGATTTTGACATTTTCAAACACACACACACACACACACACACACACACACACACACACACACGACATACGGCATGATTTCTTGCATAAATCCTTCCTGAACCTGTTTCCTTTCCTCCTACACACACCCTAGAATATGAGCTCCATGTGAGTCACTTAGTCATTACATACCCTCCTCTATCAGCTGCTGCAGAACTTGGCTGTTTGTGACAACTATACAGACTACTGTAACAAAGCTGGGTTCCCTCAGAGAACAGTCCCTCAGCCCTGCTGCCCTTGGCTGGGCATCTGTTTCATGTTCCTCTACAAGAAGAGTGTACCCCACGTGGGCAACCCAGACAGGGCATGCCTGATTGTACGAACCCTTTACTTCTGCCTTAGCTTTGGTCTTAGCTCCAAAACCCTTTCATTTTTACTGAGCATCCTAAGTATCAGGTGACACAAGCCAATCCTGGGGTCTAACATCTTACATGCTACACCAGGCTGTAATCCCAGCAGTGCTTCATGAGGTGATGGGACACCAGATTCCACTTCATCCCAGGAACTTAAGTCACTCACTGCCCAAGTATCTTTCTGCATGTTGTACCCACACCCTTCCTCACCTTAGTGTAGGATGAGAAAAAGAGGGAACCTCAAAGTCAAAGCAAAGAGAAAAAGTAGCATGGGGCAGAACCCATGCAGATCAAATATAGAGAATGAGTAACAGTGCAGTGACCTGAGTTTTGGGTCCTTTCTTCTCTCCTTCAGATCTCCTAGGGCTGCCAGCCCAGAGAGGACACTAATGCCCTTCTTTAAGGAAAAAGCTGATGCTGGCCAGGAAGAGACCTAAAGAAGGAATGTTCACTGAAAGGGAAGAGGAAATAATCAACAGTTCTAAGGATAAGTGCACACAGAGCCTTCAGCTCCAGGCTGGGAACAGGTGGCATGAGGGAAATAAAACCTTTCTATGCCAAACTTGGATTGGAGGTGGGAGTGATTATACCTTAGAAATCATGGGGACTTATGAAAAGATTTTAAGATTAGAAATGATGTGGTCCTGTCTATTTTTTAGGATGGGTTGGATAAAAGAATAGAGCCCAAGTGCCTGCCGGGAAAAGCTGTCAACAGACTAGGGTAAATAGACACACTGGCACCAGGCTGGCATGGGGGTGGGGCAGGAGAATGTGATTGGTCCCCACAAATGTCCTAAGCAGATGGTCCTCCTATCCATAGACCCAAGGTGTCCCAGGCATGAAGGGAAGAACTGCACAGGATGGAACAACCAGGCAGGCTGCTAGTAGACAACCGCAGGCACCTTGAGGGAGAAGACAGCTGGGGACTGGCTCTGAGTACACAGGACTGCCCAGCAGAATTGTGGAGCAGGAGGTTGAAAGGACAGTTGGATCCCTGGGACACTTATTTAATGATCCGGCAGAGAAGGAACCCAAGAGTAGGACAATGGAAGGACGTCTAGAAAAGTAAAAAAGAAGCCAAAAGGAAACCTAAGGAAGTGCCACATTCCACAGGAAAGTCAGTGTGGTGATAGACTGAAACCCTACAACTTATCAGTGAGGCTCTGGTGGGTGCAGGAGGGGACATGAGGGTCAGGAATCAAGCCAAGTGGCAGAGCAGTGGAGACTACACTACTGGGCTACAGGATCAACCCTCCTTACCACAGGGACCAAACACAGCTCAGTCAAGTACAAAAGTCACTGCCCACAGGACCTAGGCAGGACCCCAGAGTCCAAATGACTCCTACAAATGATTTTTAACACAATTATCAGTGTCACAGAAGACAGCCCAACACCCAAGAAAAGATAACGATGATAAGAGAAGCAGCTGGAGCAGATTTAAGATACCTAAATTATCATCTACAGACTGTGAAATAATGGTACTTACACTCTGTGCTTAAGAAAAAAGGATAATGCTTGAAAATTATTCCCAGAAGGAGACAAAAGATGGACAGAACAGAAGAAAAGAGACAGAACGTAATTGCTGTAATTTAATATTTATAAAACTCTCAAAATAGGGCCTGGTACATAGTAATTAGATATAAGTATATGCTTTTAAGATCCTATTTGAAAGAATGATGTTTAAAATAAGGATATTTTCAAGCAAACAAAAAACAGTATTTCCCACAAGATTCAGGGGAAGATTGCAACATTTTTCTCATCAACTAAGAGAACATTCAAATTAAAATAAATCCAGTCTTTAAAATGGAGCTGCCCAATACAATTCCTTTAGCCACATGTGGCTATTAAAAAATTCAAGTAAATTAAAAGTAAATAAAATGAGGGGGTTGTGCACCTTTGCTAGGCATGTCAACCACTCAGTGACACCACAGTGGATGCTATAGAAAATGCATCTACTACCACAGAGCTATTCTGAAGAGTCCTGTTGAAGAGGAAAAAAAAACCAAAACATGGCAAGACGAACAACAAATGACCCACTGGGGTAGAGAGAATAAACACGAGGCAACTGGAGATGAGGCATTCCCATCAAGCAAAGAAAGAGGGCAGACATCATGATGTCTGACTTTTTTTTTTTTAAGATTTTATTTATTTATTGTTCCCTACTCGTGTGGTCTTTTGTGACTTCTACCATGGCGTACCGCGGCCAGGGCCAGAAGGTGCAGAAGGTGATGGTGCAGCCCATCAACCTCATCTTCAGATACTTGCAAAATAGGTCTCGGATTCAGGTGTGGCTATATGAGCAAGTGAATATGTGGATAGAGGGTTGTATTATTGGCCTTGATGAGTACATGAACCTCGTATTAGATGATGCAGAAGAGATTCACTCTAAAACAAAGTCAAGGAAACAACTGGGTCAGATCATGTTGAAAGGAGACAATATTACTCAGCTCCAAAGTGTTTCCAACTAGAAACTCAGGCACTTGGGAAGTTGAAGAGGAAGTACAGTGTTTTTAAAGGTGTCTTCTGCTGGATGCACAGTCGGAAACATTTATTCATATTGTTTTAGTGGCCCTTATGTTATTATCAGGTGACAATAAATACTGTGAGGTTGTTTTTCCTTACAAAAAAAAAAGATTTTATTTATTTATTATGTATTATACATTCTGCTTCCATGTATATCTGCACACCAGAAGAGGGTACCAGATCTCATAACAGATGGTTGTGAGTCCCCATGTGGTTGCTGGGAATTGAACTCAGGACCATTGGAAGAGCAGCCAGTGCTCTGAACCCCTGAGCCATCTCTGCAGCCCCGGTGATGTATGTCTTTAATCCTAGCACTACAGGTGTATCTCTGTGAGCTCAAGGCCAGCTGGTCTACACCACAGAGTTCTAGGCTACTTGGGCTACACAGTGAAACCTTGTTTCTAGATAAATTAGTGAATAAATAAACAAATAAAGCAGAGGCTGGGGAAATGGCTCAGCAGTTAAGAGCACCTGCTGCTCTTGCAGAGGTCCTGTATTAGGCTCCCAGCATCAAATCAGGTAGCACATGACAGTCTGCAATTCCAGGTTCATGGACTCCTGAGCACCTGCATCCATATGTGCATTTTCACACATATACATTTACACATAAGTATATAATAAAAGTAAAACAGGAGGTTCTGTTCAAATAAGCACTGCAAACATGTACTTCAATCTTTTCCTCCCCCAAGTCCCACTCAGTAAAGGCCAAAAGGCACAAAGATACAATAAATACTGAGAAGCAGGAAAGAGAGGAACACAGATTCAAATCAGGCAGAGGAG